TGAAAATACAGTCAGCTCAGATAGGAAAATATCTGGATGTCTGACAACCATAATATATCCTTAATTAAAACCAAAAACCCTATTATGACCCTTCAATGCACTATCTGAAGTTGGCCCTCCACGTATTATTGTTCACATTTCGGTCCGCTATAGGTTTCAAAACTCTGTCCAATCCAGCTTGTTAGGGAACCGCTGGCTTTTCTTAAGTCTAATATATAAAATGGTCTGGCACATTCTGTCTGCGCACCATCATTAAACGGCAGCCAAACATGCATGGGAAGTCAATAAGAATGTAAAATTGCCTCATACGTCACCGCTAAATTGCCTAATATCAGAACTTTCTTCGGTACACAAATTCTGATAAATTTGAAATCCAAGCCCCACCCAAAAAAAAATGGCGATGATGATGATGAAGAGATCAATCTAAAAAGAAGAAAATAGAATCTGGCAATTGAAGTAAACACCACAAAAACAATAAATGTAACAACAACCCGCTCCTAGTCCAAGTAATCAAATTTCAAACAATTTTTTGTGAACTTACAACAGGAAACATACTCAAACCCCCCAAAAACAGAAGAACAAGCAGAATAACAGTTAAAGTGTGGTGAAGAAAGAAACGCGTTACCCGTAAACTTTGAAGCGCGAAGTGTAAGCAACCAGCTAGACTCGAAAAACCGTGGATCCAGAAACAAAAATCGATGCCAGATAAACACAGGTTTGGATCCTCTGAATAGATGATGACGACTCAAAGTGAAGAAGGGAAAATAAAAAGCTGCAAGATTATTTTATATTGTTTTAATCTCTCTCTACTTCCGAAGCCTTTTACCATCAACGGAGAGGACCGAGGCTCGAATTTGGAACAGAGGATCGCTTTCTTGGATCCTCAACCACGAGAATCGCCTTCGAAGCCCATCCCCCAGAGAGAGAGAGAGAACAGACGCAAGACAGAGTGAAGAATAGAAGTCCATGAGGCCCACCCGTTGAACTTTTTTCCTAATTGGTTGTTTTCTTTCCCATGCCTTTTTGTTTTTCCGATGTTTCATTTATATATAATTTATATATACTGCCGCTCCCCTCATGTGTGTGTGTACACACACTCTCTCTCTCTGGACATATATCTCATTTCTATCTTGTTCACGCATGTTAGTAAAAACAATTAAAAATATTAAATTTGTTATAAACTTTAAGTGATTTCCAATATCCTTATGATTTATACTGAATTCGAGCATCATAATAATTTTTATTTTCTCATCATCGTTATTAAATATAGACATATATAGCAAAAAGTATTTAATGCTTTTTAAAATTAAATAAATGACTTGTGAAAATAACTAAGAATACTTGTAGTTGAAGGGATATGAATATAAGACATATTTTAAGAAGTGTTCTTAATTTCTTTATTTAATAAGAGGGAAAAAAAAGTATAAATAAATGTAATGTTAAAATTTAATTTGTAATCTAAATAACACCAAATACTTTCTTAAGTTAATGTGAATTGCGTGTGAATTAGGCACCGTTTGGGTGACACTCTAAACCATGGTTTGGAGACCCAAATCATGGTTTGGGTGATAAGTCACCCAAACACCCACCCAATTTGCACAAACCGTGGTTTTGGAAAAAGCATAATTTTTTTGCTTTTGGAGAAAAAAGGGAGAGTGTGAGAGCCTATAGGATATGTATCTTGTTATTTTTCTTATAAACATATTTTTTTATAAACATATTTAATCTTATATTTTATAAATATATATACATATTAATTATTTATTAATTATATTATCTTATATATTATTAATTATGTTAATAAAAAATATATTATTAACAATTTTATTCCTTCAAATTAAAATATATCATAAAATCTATTTTTCTGTAATTATCATATTAACTTATGTCTTTTTTTTAGTAATTTGTATATATAAAAAGTGCTTCTGATAATAACTATACAAACACTCTCACTTCTCAAAATCACTTTTTCATAACACTTATTCTTTCCAGAAATCTATTCTTCTCAGAATCTATTCTCCAGAATCACTTTTTTAAACCACGGTTTAGTTTCATCCAAACACACCCTTAGTCAGAAACTATTTATATGTGGAATTTGAGGGGTATAAATATTGGGCGTGTGGGAATTAAAAGAGCTAGTTGGATTGCAATTTTAATTTTTATTATTATTAAGAATAATACTAATAACCGAGTGGAGGTTGGATTGGTTAGCAAGGACAGGTGAGACCGTGGAGGATTGAGCACCACGTAAATCACGAGACCATGCATTTGGATGCCTTGTGTCCACATCATTCTTCCTATTCATTATTCTTCTGGCTAATTATTGAATTAGTTTTGATTCTAAATATAAGACCTATTTTTTATATTTATTATTTTTTTTAAATTACCCTTATGGATACTCAATTAACCATAACAAGTAGAAGAGGGAGAAGAGTATTAAGAAAGATGATCATGGTGTTTTAAGAAAAACATGTTACATTTCTTATAATTAACTAACTTACATAACTTTCTTAATCTAATCAAATTAGTTTAATGGATTTTATATTAAGGAGCGGAGGAGTATTTGATTTTATAAGTCAGACAAATTAATCTAAAAATAATAATAAATATGAATATCTGAAAATAATTTTTTAATTTTTTTAATCTCTTCATATCAATCTGGTTTTATACTAGGTAATAATACACTAATTTCATATGTTTACTTTTCTTTTCGTTTCTCTGTGTCCACATGGAAGCTGGGGACTTGGACAGCTGAAGTCAACAGTGACAAGACTAGGAGAATGCGATCTTCACATCGGCGCGTTGTCCACAAGCTGCTTCGGAGGCCCCAAAAGAGATATAAGTGGTCTGATTGGGCTTCCATGGGACCGTGCTTATATTGGGCCTCCTGAGGCCCATTTCTATTTCTTTTTTCCCATTGGATGTGAAAAAAAGGCCTGATGTCCTTCGCAAGAACAAAAACATAACCACAAGATCAGCAGCTCACGTTACTTTCAAAAGAAAACTCATATTTTCTCTCAATTATTAATTCGGTATTCTATTTTTCTTCTTTTAATTAGATACTCTAATTTTATTATGTTAGCAACATTACTAACTATACTTTTACTTAATTTAGTACTGTTAGTCTCTATACCCAAGCTAACAATGCTAACAAAACGAAATTAACGTATTTAATTAAAAGAAAAGACACACAAGTATCATATTAAAATGTGAGAGATGAAAAATAATTTTTCTTTTTTCTCTTCCCTTTAATATGAAGGTATGAAAACATGTAAAAGAAACTATGTATTGTTTGATACATCAAAATCATCCTGATTTATAAATACCCTGCACAACTTGTGCATTGCTGCAGGAGGAGGGAGACATTTTGAACATACAAATTATGTAACACTACTTTCTCCGGTCCTAATTATAAGATCTCATTTATAGACTACAAATGAGGTCTTATAATTAGAACAGGAGATAGTATATATTGTCTCCAATTGCTTTTATGTCAGGCCAAAACAAATTGCTTTTAATGCAAATATGTTTATCTATTTCCTCGTTTCAAGTGGAATCACCTTAGAAAATTCACATCCTACCAACCTTCCCATGTATTTGAATATTTACCATCTTTTGTTCCGCTGAGCTTTATTGAATTTTCTTACATAACTGTCATACCTAATTATCTAATAAACGTATCCGATCTTTGATTTTTAATAATCAAAGCCTTTCCTCTGTCATTATTTATTTGATCATGCATCAAGGTTGTGTAATCTGCATGAATTAACACCGTTAATTGCCAGATTCTGATCCTACCTTAACCTATACATGAAGCCAGCGTAAGAGGATTCATAATATTAACATGTGAAATTGTGAATAGTCTAAATTTTGCTATTTATTTTCATATGTTTGAGTTAAAATACTTTTTTTTCTTGTAAGTTGATATTTATAAAATCTAAGCACTTGTAAATAAATATATTATAATAATTTAATTAGAAAAAAATCCAGTTGTCCATGTTTTTAATAGTCCAAATGACGGAGGGGCAGGATGCACGCCTTTTTTCTTCTGGCTTAATTTGTGTTTAATAACAGGAGACAAGTCTTTGACGAAAAAAAGAAAATAATAAGATATAAGTCAAGAGCAAGTAGCTCTAGTAATACCGTCACCTATTATATTTAGATAACGTCCTAAGTGTAATGTTAAAATGGATATAAATTGTATTAAAAGTAAAGAAAAAACAATAAAAAATAAGGTCATATGTTTTTTTTTTAACCTTCAACGAGGCCATGTGCTATTTTTTTTTACACAATATTACATACTACCTCCGGTCCTAATTATAAGACCCAGTTGACTTATTTGAGGAGATTAAGGAAGCAAGTTGAGTTAGTTATTTGTCCTGAATAAGTGTTGTCTTTCCTAAAAGATCCTTATTAATCAAGTGATTGACTAGAACTATCATTGTTAGAAGGGCTATTTTAGAAAAAATATATATAAATATGAGAGACAAAGTGGATTGGGGTCTTATAATTAGGATCAAATAAAAAGTCAAACGGGGTCTTATATTAAGGACCGGAGGTAGTATTATATATGGCATAATAACATTATATATTGGTTAATTATATTTTAGAAAAGTTTTTTTAAAAAAATCGGAAGTGAAAAAAAAGAAGACAATCTATCTACTAGTCTCCTAGTCTACAAGTCAAATAAAATAAAGATCTTTTCAAAAAGAAAAAAGAAAAAACCCAATCTCTTCCCCCAGTGGCCAAGGAAAGAGGTCTGCCCAATTATGCTATTGTCCTCAAGAACAAGGGTACACGCTATCTGACAGACCAATAATAATCTTCCATGTTAGCACTTAGGGGCGGCACGCTCTTCCCGTTCACGCGCCTCCGCAGTCATTTCCTGGAGGACTGCGGCATCTCCGCTAATACAAGATAACATCCCAGTGCCACTCGTTCCTCGGTCACATTTCCCTTCTTCGGTCACATTTCCCTATGTAATACGACGCCGGAGAGGGCAGATAATAGAGGCTATAATAATAGACCCCATCAAAAAAGTGGGTTGGAAAAAAAAAACGAAACGAATAATAAGGAAATTCGCGTTTCCTTGTAGATCTGCCTACTTTTCGGTTCCTCCATCAAAATCTCCTCGTCGTCCTCCTCCTCGTCGGGCTCAAACGGTCCTCCCAGGTCAGCTTCGATTCTTCTCTGGATTTCATTTCCTCCTTGATATAGGGTTCAGCAGATTCCCGTCTACTTCTAGATCCGCACACTTTTCGCCTCCCTCCACCAGTTCTCTTCCTTCTTGAGCTTCAACAGTTCTCCTTGGTTAGCTCCTTTTATCCCTTGGATTCCGTTCCTTGCTTAACCTGTTAGGACTCCCGATTTCATTATGCTAGATCTTCTTCTTGCCCGGCTGTTTTGTACATCTTTTCCAGAATTTTGGGAGTATTTCACATGTAATGAGAAATGATGCTTGCGGATCCCTTTTTTTTTAATGATAAAAATTAAGCCTTACTTTTTTAGTTTGTGTTGTTGGCTGCTTTGATGAAATTTGATGTGTCTGATTCTGAACGACTTTCTTTATTCTGTATGTTGATGTACTTCAATAGAGTAGAAGCTCTTTTTCCTTTCTATTTCAGCTCAAGCGGCGTCGGTGGTTATCTATTATATATGCAATTAACCATGGGAGGGTGTTAGACATGATTCATTTTGAACAATGAGCTTGTTTGTAAGCCATGATTATGTCTCCGCAGGTTGTTAATTGAATGGAGGGAGTTGGAGGTGGCAGTGCTTCGGCTGCTGCACCTGTAAACCAGGGGGTGCAGGACTTTATGAGGCTCTTTCAATATTATCTGGATAAAACTACTCCTCATGCTACGTATAGATGGATTGGGACTTTGGTTTTGGCATTACTGTATGCTTTGAGGGTTTATTATGTCCAGGGATTCTACATCGTGTCATACGGTCTGGGAATCTATTTGCTCAATCTGTTGATTGGGTTTCTGTCCCCTTTGGTTGATCCAGAACTGGAACCTTCAGATGGACCTCTGCTGCCAACAAAAGGTTCTGATGAGTTCAAACCTTTCATTCGCCGGCTTCCTGAATTTAAGTTCTGGTAATTTGTTTATTTTGCTGCTAATCTGTTACCTACATTATTGCCATTATAGTCTTAGGGTTTTTGTTTAACATTATTAGATGACCTGCACAGTCCCTCTTTCAGAAAACCGTAATTAATTATTTGGATATTAGATTTTAACTGAGAACACTTAATGAAGTTATTAAACGTGATCTTTTGGTTAACAATTTATCCAGATATTTGGTTGTTGTTAACTTCACATAGTAGGATAAGGCTCATTGTTGTTAGATTTTAATTGCTGCTTCGGTGTCTGTCATCTTAGCATTCAGTCCTGAGTCTCTAACATATGATGTACCATAACTTGATATCTTAGTTTATCATATGTGCCCACTGATATTGCTATGAATCAATGCTAAACTCCATTTGGTAGTCCGGCCTTCAGTCATTCACAGAGCACGGCCATACAAAAAATGCTCTTAATTTTGTATTTTTTTGGGAAAACCTGTTCTGGTCAATAGAAATAAACCCTTCACAAAGGAAGAATAACTTGATATCCTTATAATAAATTAATGAGAAGATTGAGGTAATCTTGTTGTCAGGTACTAGCTTTTAGTCTACTGCCTGCTGAAACTGCCTATGTTATCAACCACTAGTTACCTTTGGCTGCAAATTGATGATTTTTTGTACACCAGTGGTTAATTACATCAGAACATGTTTATCTTTCCTAAAATGTCTTCATAAACACACTTTCTTTTTTGACCAAATCATAAACACACTTTCTCAAACGCATCGTTTTCCGTGGAACTAACTTGTGCTTCAACTCAGCATCAACTTTGATCCCAATCACGCATCTTTCTTCCTGGTATTTGTTCTTGTGATGATATAGCGTATGATACATAATATTTGGTTAGTGTATATGCCTTTAAGCCTGTTATTTTAACTTTCGACAAGTTCACTTTCTTGTGATCTTTTTGTCCTTGTTCATTGAAAAACTGGAACACTGGATACCTTAGATTTCTGGGTATCACCTTGCGCAAATTACATGCCCAGAAACTTAGTTTTATGCCTCCTAAAACCTCTGTAATAATGATTTTTCAGAACTTGTTTTCATATAACATTTTGTGAATATTTTATGACCTTTCTGGAAAACTGATGGAGTTAATACTGCTTTTGTCACTAAGAAATTTGATGTCTTCTATTTGTCCAACCTTTTCATATTATATTTCTCCTCCACCCCCTTTTTGGGGGGGGGGGGTGGCACTATTTATATGCAATCTTCTTCCATTTTTGTGGTCAAGGAATCATGTAATTTACAGGCTCATTTTTTAGAGTTTCCATGTTTCTGTTGGGGAACAATGGGATAGCCCGTTGACACAGATGAAAATAATGACTTGCTTTTTCCTCTGTTGCTGCAGGTATTCTTTCACAAAAGCTTTCTGCATAGCTTTTGTCATGACCTTCTTTTCTGTATTTGATGTTCCTGTCTTTTGGCCTATATTACTCTGTTACTGGATTGTTCTGTTCGTCCTTACCATGAGGCGCCAAATTGCACACATGGTCAAATACAAATACGTCCCATTCAACATCGGAAAGCAGGTTGAGTTTCTATCTTTTTGATGCTTGAATTTCTTCTCATAGTTTACTTTATGTGTCTGTGTGAAATATTTTGGAAAGTACCCCATGCTATTTTTTTTTCCCCCCTTTCAGAAGTATGGCGGTAAGAAGCCTTCTGCAAGTAGCAGTGGATCTCGTGCAGAATGAAGCTAGGCTGTTGCATGCTTGGAAGGATACTCATTTACTGGATTGAGGAGAAGGGTTAGGATTTGTGAACATTTAGGGTAGCTGATTTTCCCCCCCTTTTTACTTGAAGGATTGTGTTTTGCAGACTATAATGGGGTGCCAATACGCAGTCACAGAAAATTGGATTATGTTATGTCCACTTAGTTTTATGATACCAGAAGATATGCTAATGTTGGCACTTGGCAGTAAACTTCATTGTTTATACATATCATCATTTAATCCAATTTTGAATATTAGTGCTAATCTCTCTTCTTGATGAAATACTTCAGCAGAATCCCTTTAATACGAAGATTTTTTTGGTTGCTGCTTATTGGAAGCTGGTGTAATAAAGCTGTTCACTTTAGACTCTGATTTCATTTTCTTTTGTATTTTTGGGGTAAAGGTTAAATTGGCCAAGTGAAGGCCCTTCAGGTTTGTAGCGCAGCACAACGTCTCATCAGGCGTTGTGGGTTAGAGTGGCAAACAGCGATAACCTTCTCTTCAACCTTTCCACCTAGTTACTCTACCACGCCAGGAACCTGACAAGCTATTATGAGCACTGATGCATGCTCTTTCTTTGTTTTTTTTCTGCCAGCACTGACGCATGCATAAATAACTTGTGCATCTGTATCTTTCTTCTCAGATATGAGAACGAGATAATTAAAATATAAAAAATAAAAAGATTATTTATTTATAATGAATGTATGTTGATTTTTTTTAAATGTCACTTTTAATTATTTGCATTAAAAAATTTTCTTATGAATAGAAATTTTCTTTAGCATATGCAATTAATAGGATTGTTTAAGTGAATTAATGTCTTATAATTAGCTTTTATATTTTGAATGAGTTCAGTTCATTTTGTCAAGGTTACTTCTTTTTTTTTTAAAGGACATGTAATTAGGAATATAATATTGATGTGCGAACAATATGTATCATAAATCGACATGGGTGAATGCACAACGTGGTTTCAATTATTCTGCGCTCTATGGGCCGATTTTAATGAGCATATAACAAAGTTATAATGAACTATTGACCTATAAAAAATTAAGTTTCCAGTTCTGTTACCTTTAGTAATTTATTCAATTTTTTGTTAATAAAATCATGATAATTTGGCCCAAAAAATATAAAATCGTAATAAAATGACATGGAAAAAGCAATTATGTGTAAATCGTGAATTTGTTAAATGTAGCATAGGCTTTATTTTGTTTCTTGTTATATTATATATTCTGTATTTTCAGGAACACTTTTTTTTAATTTTGTATTTTCTTATTGACACAATTTCCCCGCCTTTTTGGAAGCGCTTGGGGAGAAAGAAGATGCATATGGGGAATGCCGTAACAAGGTTGGTGTGCTGATAAGCCCTATTCCTCGTTAGGAAGGACACACGGAGCTTGGGATTAGGATTTACTGCCGATTAATATTTTAAAGATAATTAACAATAATAAGTTATACTATTATGTTTTTTTTGGCTACTCATAAATATTCTTCTATTAGAGGCAATATTATTCATTGCATTATTGGGGGTACTACTTCCGGTTCTAAATATAAGAGCTAGTTAACTAATTTAAGTAAATTAAAAAAATAAATTAAATTAGTTATTTATAATAAATAAGTGTTGTCTTTCTTAAAATATCTTTGTTAATCATGTTTATTGGTTAGAATCACTATTATTAAAAAGACTATCTTTAAAAATAAATAAATAAATATAAAAAAAAGTAAATAATAACATGTTTTTGAATAAATTTTTGGTATGCCAAGAACCTTCTGGTTGGACGGCACCCACACTTTCATAGCCCAAACCCATGATAAAAATAGGGACGGGCATGATGGGCGGGTGTGTGAGTCCACTCTCCTGTAAAGTGGGTAAAATTGTTAAAATTAACAAAAAATAGAAAAACTTGAAAATACTCTTTTTGCTGTTGGCATACTGTGGTCCTTGAGAACCAAAAAGGGAGGAGGAAAAAACTGCAAAATTAAGTGCTCACTGTGCTTCCTCTTTTCAACTGAGCAAAAGTAGTGATAGGAGGAACGAAAGCCCAAAATGGAGATTTTAAGATCTGGCGACACATGGCTTCATTACTCTTTAGATTCTCACATACTAGCTCGAAGAATACAAGGATGTCACCTATAAATCAATCTATTTCCTTTTTCCTGGATCAGTTTTATTTCTTTGATCTTCTTTTGTTTATCATAAAGAACAGCTAATAAAGTCAAACAATCCATTGCAGTGACTTGCTTAGGCAGAAAAAGGTTTGAATATCCTGAATATGCAGTTATATAATATATGCACACTTGCTGACAGACTGGTTTGAAATGGCCTGTCAATATCATTAAATATCTTGCCTTTGGGTTCCTCTGTCTAGTTTCTTTATGCCCGGAAAGTTCCCCGCTGAATTTGGCAAATTGCCACTGCAGCAGTTTTCGAATTCTCGGTTTTCCGAGCGAGACAGAGATGGCAAAAAGTAAAATTTTGATCATCGGGGCAACTGGAAGATTAGGGTACCACTTAACGAAAGCAAGCCTCGAATTTTCTCATCCAACATTTGCTCTTGTGAGAGAATCTGCCTTCTCTGACCCTAACAAGGCTCAGAAGATTCAGTCTCTCTCCGATTCTGGAGCTACCATTCTAAAAGTCTCTGCCTATCTCCCCGTTTTCGTTTTCTGGGTTCAATGTTTTTGGTTGACTTCTGTTTCAGTGGTTCTTAAGGTTGACTTTTTATTTATGTTGTAGGGTTCGCTCCAAGATGAAGCGAGCCTTGTTGAGGCGGTCAGGCAAGTGGATGTGGTGATTTGTGCTGTTTCAGCAAAGCAGATTCTTGACCAGAAGCTCCTTATCCAAGTCATCAAACAAGCTGGCTCCATCAAGGTCATCAACCTCTTGACATTGTCATTTGATCTTTTTATCTATTTCTGCATTTGTCTTTCTGGGGTCTGCAAATCTTTGGGTTCCTATGGAAAAATTCTTCAATACCTATTCTTGCACCAACAAAGAGCTACTCTATGAGTGGTAAACTATGGAAGAGACTAAAAGAAGGAAAAAGAGACTAAAACCTATTCTTCAATACCTGTGTGAGTGTGATTGTTTGGATACAATTCATGAACCGTCAAATATTTTCTGTTGGTAGTACATTTATATATGAAGAGAGAGTTGTACAAAGAATATGACTATTTGTGGGATTTACATCTCATGTTTGCACATATCAACCCCTTTTATCTAGTGTCTTGGACTGCATTTGCTTTTATGATCTTAGATGACCTGTATTGTCGAGAATAAGCCAGCTATAGTCTTTATCCTTTCTGTTATTTTGTTGGTGTGAACCTTCTCACATGTAGCCCATCTGACTAAAACATATAGTGTTATTGATAAAGAATGATGAAGTCTGGCAAGTATTTACATGTCTGAGCCCCTATATATAGGCTTATCAATCCCATGACTTGCAGCAGATATTTACAACTAAAAACATCCTAACTAACTAATGACCAAATCTAATAAATACATGTTCTAATTCTCTTCACAGTTGGTTAGCACCTTTGTTTACAAGGAGATATTAGTCATAGCAATATGCAGAGAAACATTTGGCAATGTTATGGCCTTGATGAGTTTTGATGCTAACCAGGAAAAGAATTAATCTAATGTTCTGTTTATCTTTTCCCCTCTTCTGTCATTCCTATTTATTCCTGGGTTGGTGCAGCCATTGAGGAATTAGCGAAATTAGTAAGAGATTACACATTTTGTGTTGCAAATTTTTTTGCCTTGTCAACATGGATTTGATTCTTTGAGGAGTACTTTGGTAATAAAATCCTACACACATTAGGTCAAAATGGAGGAAAGCACCCTTAAGATCTCATGGAAGGGCTTTAGCATGGACATTTTTTAATATATCCTTGCAATAACAAAGAGAAATAACTTAGTTAGAGAAAAAAAACATCCTGCTTTTGCAACTTCGGTTCCATTTTTCCAGTTCGTCTTCGTCCTTTTGCAATATGATCCCTCTAGCATTGGGTTGAAAATGGAGGAAAGTCGCTTTCAGATCTCGCAAGGAGGGATTTTGTGCAGAGAGACAAAGATCAGGGATAAATAAGTACAAAGAGCTAATTAGTAAAAACCCATTAGAGTGAGTGTTTATGATTGTTTGATGAGTTTTTGTTAATTTTTTGCGCTTGCTTTGGTTGCATCAAGCGTATATATTTTGTAGAAATAACCTAACCTTTTTGGGGGAAAAGGAAGAAATAGAAGTGGGCTGGATAGGAAAAAGAACTTGTCCATCCTTCAAATCCAGTGGGTAGGAGGCTCCATCCAAGTTGATGAGCTGGGAGCTGTAGCTCATCCAAGTTTATTCTGCTGATCATCTCATCCAAGTTAGGTTATTTTGTAGAAACAACCTAACTTTTTTGGGGGAAAATGTGCTTTCTTGAACCTATGAATCTTTCTATCCTTACAATCATCTCAAACATTGACTTACAGATTTTTTTTTTTTAGAGATCTGTTTTGCTCAAATATATAGTTGATACAGCACAGCTCAACCTCAATTTTGTCATTCATCTGCTTACAACTGATTTTCCTTTATTTTTCAACTTTCTTGTGTGTAAATAATTTTAGTTGGTTTGTGGGGTCTTGCAGAGGTTCATCCCATCAGAATTCGGATCAGACCCTGACAAGGTTCGAATTTCTGTCCTTGATGCTGGCTATAATTTCTACAAACATAAAGTAGAAATCCGGCGACTCGTGGAGGCTGAAGGCATTCCATATACTTACATCTCCTGCAATTTCTTCATGAGCCTTTTGATTCCTTCTCTCGTTCAGCCAGGCTTAAAAGTTCCTCCTAGGGACAAGGTCACTATATTTGGCGATGGAAACACAAAAGGTCTGTTTTTTCAAGCTCCTTTTTGTACACATAATCGAAATACATAATTTTTTTGCCGGCTGACATTCATAATCAACATGGCAGCGGTCTTTGTTAAGGAAAGTGATGTCGCTGCATTCACTATCAATGCTGTGGATGACCCTCGTACATCATGTAAAGTTTTGTACTTAAGACCGCCCGGAAATGTTTACTCCATTAACGAGCTAGTAGACTTATGGGAGACCAAAGTTGGGAAGAAGCTTCAGAAATCTTACGTTTCAGAAGAAGAGCTGCTCAAGAACATTAAAGGTATTTTAGTAGTTTGTATAACATTTATACACATATCTCACTACTTATTTGAAGCATGTAGAATCCATAATATACAGCACAAAGAGATAGATATAGTTGAAGGTCTTAGGACTTGTTTGGAGCAACATTGAAAACGGACTTTTAAGCAAGTTCACATAAGCCGAGATAAAACTCTC